CTTCTATGCGCTCCTGAAGATATAATCGATATCTGTTGTACAGTGTGACCGTTATGTTCGACGATAGTCCCACGTGCTTCAGAAATCCGGAGACAAGCGCGGTGACTTGCGCAAGGATAAGTTTAAACGGAAAACAGACTTTCGCAGTATCTACCGCACTCTCTATTCCCTCATCCACCTGTGCTCGGTGTCAAAACAGACTTAAGGAAACCAGAGGCTGGATTGGACGCAGGTGGCTGGCGAGGCCAAAGCCGCCCCTATGCGTGCCGCCACACCTGGCTCGAATCTCATCTCTGCGGGAGTGCCATAAGGGCCACATTACGAAGGAGCCATTGTAGCTTGACCCTCAGTCCGTCAGTCAGTCATTCCACTCCACTCCGCACAACATAAAACACACTAGGCTGACCGTGTAGTCCGAACTTTCCATCAGTTGACAATCTCCCAAGCCACCGTGATAGATGCACTCGCGTCAGACTGTTTATAACGCGAAAAATGCGCTGAACCGTCGTCTTCACTCTTTCTCCCACCACCAGCATCACTTGTGCCCAATCTCATGAAAAGTGTCGAAACTTACGAAATATTGTTAGCCACTCGCAAAGTAGCACTGACTAATTGGCTTAAGCTTTGAATTAATAATGAAAGACGTTCACTGAATTGAAACGCAAAGAGGAATATTCAAAGTTATTTTACGTTGCTTAGAAATACCAACTCTCTTTTAGAAAAGCGAACGCTTTCAAAACGTCAATAATATATATATTACTGAGTACACTTAAGTTCTAAATGTACCTAGAGCCTGTTCGTACAAAAAAAGTATTTAAATAATCATAAGGAGAATGAAGTATGGCCTATAGGAACCACGCTAAAATTTGAGTATAGATTCCAATGCGGGTTTAAGAGAACTGGTTGCATTTTTCCGTAATTTAATTTTTCAGGTGCGGTTCACTGAGACAAAACAAGGTTTGGGCTTGATTTAGCTGCAGGGGACGTCACAAGGTCATATTTTGACATAGAGGACCCCTCCGATCATATTCAATAGCGCTCGGATGAAATAGTGGAAAGTAACGCATGCCTCTCATGCTTACTGTATTGGTTACTCCTTTAAATTTTACCCATTCATCCGTTATCATTCATGAATTAGGTCTATGGCCCAGAGTAACAGGACTAAACTCATTCCTAACAAGAAAGAGTAAGAGCGTACGATAAAGAGTAAGCAAGAGATAGAGAAAGATGGAGATTGGTAGAGGGGGCTGACGCGGAAAGACCGCCCATAAAGCTGCCAGCATACCAGCTCGGATTCCACTGAGGAGAAGCCACCATTGCAGCCTGACTCTCAGTCCACCAGTTGGCAACTCCATACAACAAGACACACGCCGGGCCGACTGCGGCTCTGCTTTATCCCTCAGTCGCTAACCGTTCAACTCACGGCTTTTACCCCACCGTGATAGCTTCAAGCGCGCCAGACTGTTTC